GGAGGGGATCAGATACCTCTAATTATGCAATCATTGCAATTTAAACTCATTTAATTTTTTTCATTAAACGATAAACATTCACAATCCATTTTTGGATGAGAATTTAACATAAAACAAAAACTTGCTTCAAAACTAGGTGAATTTAGGTGGAAATTCTGGACTGGCTTTTTCAGACGTGTGGAAAACCCTGTTTTAAAAGAAGCACTTGTACAGAGCACGGAATAGAAGATACTGAGGTTACAGCTAGATGGGCTGTTCGTCCTTCTGCTGAGCTGGATGAAGATATTATTTCTAGCACTGGTTACCCTGACTGCTGCTTACCACCCAATAGGTCTGGCCCTTAAGTCTGCTGGCGTAGTGACACACATTCACTCTGTCCAAATGTTTATTCTGGTTTTGCTATTAATCTCATCAATAGTTTGAGCATTTTTACTTGGACTGTCTTGATAAAATTTGACTGAGGAAAAACTGATTGTGTGGTTATGCTGGCATAGCTAAAAAGGTAACAATCATTTTCCATTTGAGAGGAGGTCACCATCACTAGATGCTGACAAGCAGTTGGGATGGGATGGGGAAGTTCAGCTGCAGCTGGAATAGCCCATGTGACCACTGTCTGAAAAGTGAGGTATCAGCAGAAATTATTTTTCTCATTTGTCTGCAGGCATGTTCCGATACTATTTCTCATTCTGGTTCAGGGTATAAGGGCCTTTATTTTGCCTCCCAGTGGTAAAACCCTTTTGACTTCAGTGGAGTTTCTTCAGATTTACAAGTGAGATCAGAATAATCAGGCAGCAAATCAATGAGTTTGCAAAGCTTAATAGAAAAGGTTCTTTATCTAGACACTTTAACTCCTTTTCTAGTGAAAGCCTATTAAAATGACAGCAACATTAGGAGTATGGGAAATCACTTGTGCATACAGGTTGATGAAATTAAGCATATGGTGTGTCTTGACTTGCCATTTTCATTTCTGCCGGGAATATCATCATTAACCAACCATCAAGTCTGAAATACTGAACCTATAAAATACTTGGCATTTATAAAGGTAAATATTGCATAGTAATTGTTCAAATGCTTCTGCTGTTACAAGAGCTGTAGCAACTGCTACAGACAGTGGTTTGTTGCCAGTGCTGACACTGAAGAGCATTGAATAAAGTCAAATTGGGTCATGGAATCAGAAGAAATCCTTAGAACGCGGATCCCAGGAAAACAAAGAAACATTTGAAGAAAATCTGGAAAGGAGTTCACAACAATTAAATTTTAAAGAAAGTCTGATTTGTTTCCGTGCTTATTTTTAAGGCACTTTTCAATGCTTATTTTCTTATCTGAGAAATTCTGGTTTTGCTGTAGGAGCTCTTCTGGTGTGATGCAGGCTCTCACATTGTTATTCTCAGCTGCTCAATCTTTAATATATCTTTCTTTATCCAATAGTATTAGTCCTGAAAATTAAGTCCATATGCACAAATTGTTTTAAGATTATTCAGAGAAAATTTCATGCAAATTCTGCTAAATTTGACAATATTTATCTATATATTATTTACATTTTAATCTACATTATGTATATATTATTTATGTTTTAAAATTTATATATTATTATTTATATGTTATTTTAACATGACTTTTCTCCATATAAGCCAAAGTTGCTAACAGTACTAAAAAAAAAAAACAAATTAACATCTTTTCCTGAGGGGAAAATGAAAAAAAAGTTTCATATTCTTTAGCTTCAGCTGTCTTCTGTTTTCTGTTTTCTCTTTCTTTCTCTTTTTGTAAAAGAATTAAGCCTCCAATGACTTAAAATATCTATTTTTCTACCTATAAAACAGCTAGAAAATAAGTGTCACATGACATACAAGACCTGTAAACAACTCTTCATACATCCTGTAATTTATGAGTAATCCATGATCTGAAATGAATCCACAAAAATATTAACCAAATTATTAGTAATGATTCAATTTCTTAACGTTATAATGAAATATATGCCATAATCTCTCTGTTTGCAGACAGCTTGCAAAGAGAAAGTGGATTAAATTGGGCAGTTGAGTTGTCTCTGGCAAATTGTTCATCTGGCTCTAATCATTACAGTTTCGGCTGGGTTTTTTTCTTTTATTTTGTCTCTTGACTACAGTAAAGTTCGTCAAATGACACGATTTTAAAAAGTACACATGAAAAGAAAATGTAGTCTTGTCTACGAGGTGAGTTTACCTCAGGTCTCACAATTCCAAGTCTAGTTACTTGTTTTTCAGCTTGTAATTTTTTCGATGGCTAAATCTTCTGCAAATTTAGCTATGGATTTCTGAGATTTTATATGCTCTAAAATGGGCCTGGCAAGATTGTGCATTGGCCAATTATGAGACAGTGTGTCTAATATAAACTGAACTTCATATTTTTTACAAAGGTTTATTCAGCCAAAATATCACTTTTCAGAGGAAAAATGATTTGGAAAACATTTCATAAATTATCAGTATATGCTCAACTTTCTGTTATCATCTGTGGCTGGATTATCCAGGTTACGAATAACCCATAATACGTGCTGCACCTGAGCTCTTAAGTGTTTTCAGAACCATGCCCACTAGGGAAGTAGTGCACAAATATTTCAGCTGATGCTGTGTCAAGATTTTCTAGCTTAATAGAGCTTATTGGCTCTCAAGCTTAGAGCAAGTCAAAGCTAACTATCCTACTTCCAGAGACAGCGCAAGTCTAGAAGTCTGTAGGGTATTGTCTATATTTTTCATTTATTCTTGACTGTGTCTCCTCTCCAAATGTGGCTCATGAACCACAGATTTTTTGGAGACAGTGATGATAGCGTCAATAAGTTAGCCACCATGTATGAAACTTTTCATTTAAAGTTTGTGTTCTGATCTGGCCAAAACTCCTTCATATATTTCCAGTTGAATAATTCATGCACTTTGTATTAATATAAGCAGAAACATTTGCAATGACAGGACCCTAATTTCTAAAATATATTTTCACATTTTGAGGACTTAAAATATTTCTTTCATAACGGAGACAGGGGTTTGCATATTTCTTACTTGAGTTTATCTGTGGCTTTGGCCCATGTTTCAGTCCTGTGTATTTTTAATACCTTTTCATTTAAAAAATGTAGTGAGCCGTTATATGCCTATTCCAGCATAATGCTATAACTTTACCAACCCAGTTAAAGATTAAAAAAAAGATAAATCAGTAATCAAACTCATGTCGTAATTAAGGTAAATCAATGGTCCAGATTAATGGTATTAAATTGTCAAATTAGTCAAATAATTAATCAACCACAATTGCAGTGTTGACACTAAACACTACTTTTTTGATTTAGCATGGTACATGCACTTCGTCTGGAGTTCCAGCTCTTATAATGTACTAACTCTGCCGCTGAAGGACATCGTTATCCTGAGAGCCTTAATCTTTATTTCCATCGTACGCTATTGCCAGTCAAAATTTGCTAAACAGCTAATTACCTTGAGTCATCATAAGGAATTATAGCTATTCAAGTGCCTGTTTAACACTTTTTCCTTAAAATCATTGTCAGTTTGCTGCTCTCATTTTCTTCTTTCACACGATAATACAGACATGACTTAATGCAGAGGTGATGGTTAGATGATGCACTATAGCAGCTTTTGAATAACACTACTTTTCAATCTAGAAGAATCCACTAACTAATTCAATGATAGGTTGATGATTATTTTTAGGAAACTATTAAAGACATAACCCCCCTCCCCACATACATATGTACACATATTCATAAGAACAAGAAAAAATAGATGAAGGTAGGCCATCAAAAACAACTGAAAAAAAATGAAATTATTGTGTTTCTGGGGATTTTTTTTAATGGGTCCTTTTATATATTATCTGAAATTTCAGGCTCAATATTTTAACTCATGGTGGGTCTCATTAAGTTGCAACCTGGTCAGGCTGGATCAGATCCTTCATTTTTTCTTCAGCTGGAAAACCTTCCCAGGGAAGGTACAGACATTTGGCTGATGGAGCAAGAGAATTGCTTTTCCCTGTTTAGTTTTTGCATAATCCTTTGAATAAGGATTATTTCCCTGCTGCTTTCACTGAGTAGATTCAGAGTGAATTAGGTTGCAACAGACTTCTCAAAGCTCAAGTGTTTTTGATCACTATTGCAGCCTAGTACCCTCAAAACCATCTTTGTATCTTTAAATCATGCTGGAAATTCCATCACAAATAACACTAGATTTTACCAGTTATCAATCAGCCCTAACAGAAATCAAATGATCATTCAAGTATCTATAAAGCAAAACATGTAAAATATCTTTATGCCAAAAAGTTAATCTCTGCTTTCCAGATGAAGGAGTAGGCGTAAGACCCACAATCAGCCAAAAATCACATATTATAAAAACGTTCAGTGCATGACATCTTACCATTTTCTTTAGGGTTCTTACTTCAGTGTTCTCAACATTTTTCAGAATATTATGGGACTTTTTAACTGACAGTGAAGAGTAGAACTAATTTAAACTTACTACTTTGTCTGATATTTTTTCCTAAAATTCATTTAATTTTATTAGAATTAATTCTACAAGCATTAACCCAAATCTGGGACCAAGCCTGTTATTCTTTCCTAAGAGAATACAATGCCGTTCTGTGGTCTTCATTTCTGCTATTCTCATGCTCTGCATTTTATCCCAAAAGAGGAAGCCCTGGGGATCTATTCTGTTGGGAGTAAGAGATGTTTAAAGTGGTATCTTTGTAAATCATTAAATGAGAAATGTAGGAAAGAAAATCTGTCATGAAGTGAGCACAAGGAACCAATTGATCCATGTAGGGAATAGGTGTTTTAGCAGTAAATTACAAAACCACAAAGGGGGCTCCTGCTTAATGCAGGAGTTTAGCTTCTTTAAACATGTCATCTCTGGTGCCATTGGTATTTACTGAATTAGCTAAAAAAAAATGATTTTCCCCTCACTTTCATATTTCAAAATACACAGTTAATTTAGTTTCATGGTTCTGTTTCCATAGGCATGTCTTTTTGGTTCTGACTTTTTCAGGTAGATGTGTTTCAAGTGGAAGCAGTGGATGTTGGGACTCTGCAAGGGGTGGTTGTTGAAAAAGGGAAAGGCTCTGACTGGCTTCTGGAGAAGATTATTGTGAAAGAGCCAGCAGCTGCAGGGACAGAAACTCTGTTTATGGCTCAATCATGGCTAAAAGACAAACGTGATGGAAAAAGATCTGCTTCGGTAACTCTGAATGCCACAGGTCAGTATTATTTTCAAACTATTATTTGCTAAGAAATCCATTCCAAATTGCAGGATGCAGCTATGTGATTTGCTTCTATAAACAAGTTATAGTTTAAAATATCCCTGTAGAACACTGTCATTAGGAAGGGAATTAACGTGTCTGAACACTGTTGTTTTTAGTACTATTCAACAACTACTCTTTGCCAGGGTATAATTTCTGCTTTGTTACTCCAGATTTACAGTGGCATAAATGGCAACAAATTTGGCTTATTCTTTTTATGAATGGCTGTCTCTCCAAGTCTTACTTCTATATTGTCACTTGTGACAAAATACTATTTTGGAATACCATTGCAATACTTTTTTTAAGCTTTCAATGCTTCTACCTGCTACTTGCTGAGTATAGTAAAAGTGAGGTAAATAGTTGGGCAAACTGTGTTCAAGCAGTGGAGAAAATGTCTCCACTGTATTCAAGATGACTGTTTAACATGATTTAAGCCACACTATTAGAATAACTTTTGCTAGAACCGGGACATACTTTTGACTAACGCTGTGTGAGTAACCAGTCCACAGAAGAGCAGTTTAGGCCCTGCTGTAGGCTTAATGTCTGTACCTAACCTCTTTGTCAAGACAAGACATGAATGGGCACTGTCTCTCCCTTCACTGTGGTTTCAATATCAGGAATATCCTGTGCGCAGGCCGGGAGGGCACCACAGCACGCTCCAGCCAGATGAGTAGACAACCACAGCCCACTATGACCGTCACTAAGACTCATACATTTCTTATGACCTGTCCCAAAAAGAAGTGAAGAGATAGTATAGATGTGCCCTTAGATTACAACAAATATTCTAGTTCTTTTCCTCCTAACACCCAGGGCATCTTTGCCAACTGTAGCTGCGTTGGCCTGATGGTGTTTGTCTAAAAGATATCTTGTCAAGACTAAGCAGAGTAACACTGCAATACATTTCCTTTGTTTTTGAAGCTGTTACTTGCACAGAAGTAGGTAATTTGAGCTTTGTTTTAGATTATAGGAAGGGACATTGCTGAATGAGACATAGGAATATTTAACGTATATAAGGTTATAGAACATGCTTTTACTCAAAACAAAATGTTTTGATGGTTTTTACTAGAATGCATTGATTTGATTGAAGAAGGAGTTTTTATATGTTTTTTTTAATACAATAATTGGCAAATTCAAGCTTGGTTGTGGTGTCAGTAGAAGGCTTTCCATCGTTGGTTCAGTCCTCTTTTTCTAATGTTTAGAAAAAGTTTTGGTGCATATTAAGTCCCATTGAAATCAAAGGGAGCTGATATCAGTGGGAGGAATATCAGCCCCTAAAATGGGCATTAGAAACATCCAGTTAGTTCTGATTCATCGAGAGTATAAATTGTACAAATGACGCAGAAATACTTTAAAATTAAAAATACTTACATCTTCAGGTTACAGCCGTTTCATTGTATGGAGCTTACTGTAGAATCAGTTCATTATTATGGCTCAATCATGGCTAAAAGACAAACGTGATGGAAAAAGATCTGCTTCGGTAACTCTGAATGCCACAGGTCAGTATTATTTTCAAACTATTATTTGCTAAGAAATCCATTCCAAATTGCAGGATGCAGCTATGTGATTTGCTTCTATAAACAAGTTATAGTTTAAAATATCCCTGTAGAACACTGTCATTAGGAAGGGAATTAACGTGTCTGAACACTGTTGTTTTTAGTACTATTCAACAACTACTCTTTGCCAGGGTATAATTTCTGCTTTGTTACTCCAGATTTACAGTGGCATAAATGGCAACAAATTTGGCTTATTCTTTTTATGAATGGCTGTCTCTCCAAGTCTTACTTCTATATTGTCACTTGTGACAAAATACTATTTTGGAATACCATTGCAATACTTTTTTTAAGCTTTCAATGCTTCTACCTGCTACTTGCTGAGTATAGTAAAAGTGAGGTAAATAGTTGGGCAAACTGTGTTCAAGCAGTGGAGAAAATGTCTCCACTGTATTCAAGATGACTGTTTAACATGATTTAAGCCACACTATTAGAATAACTTTTGCTAGAACCGGGACATACTTTTGACTAACGCTGTGTGAGTAACCAGTCCACAGAAGAGCAGTTTAGGCCCTGCTGTAGGCTTAATGTCTGTACCTAACCTCTTTGTCAAGACAAGACATGAATGGGCACTGTCTCTCCCTTCACTGTGGTTTCAATATCAGGAATATCCTGTGCGCAGGCCGGGAGGGCACCACAGCACGCTCCAGCCAGATGAGTAGACAACCACAGCCCACTATGACCGTCACTAAGACTCATACATTTCTTATGACCTGTCCCAAAAAGAAGTGAAGAGATAGTATAGATGGGCCCTTAGATTACAACAAATATTCTAGTTCTTTTCCTCCTAACACCCAGGGCATCTTTGCCAACTGTAGCTGCGTTGGCCTGATGGTGTTTGTCTAAAAGATATCTTGTCAAGACTAAGCAGAGTAACACTGCAATACATTTCCTTTGTTTTTGAAGCTGTTACTTGCACAGAAGTAGGTAATTTGAGCTTTGTTTTAGATTATAGGAAGGGACATTGCTGAATGAGACATAGGAATATTTAACGTATATAAGGTTATAGAACATGCTTTTACTCAAAACAAAATGTTTTGATGGTTTTTACTAGAATGCATTGATTTGATTGAAGAAGGAGTTTTTATATGTTTTTTTTAATACAATAATTGGCAAATTCAAGCTTGGTTGTGGTGTCAGTAGAAGGCTTTCCATCGTTGGTTCAGTCCTCTTTTTCTAATGTTTAGAAAAAGTTTTGGTGCATATTAAGTCCCATTGAAATCAAAGGGAGCTGATATCAGTGGGAGGAATATCAGCCCCTAAAATGGGCATTAGAAACATCCAGTTAGTTCTGATTCATCGAGAGTATAAATTGTACAAATGACGCAGAAATACTTTAAAATTAAAAATACTTACATCTTCAGGTTACAGCCGTTTCATAGTATGGAGCTTACTGTAGAATCAGTTCATTAAATAGAATGATATGTAGGAGATGATGCCTAAGTAGAAAATCACATTGTACACTTCCTAGTTAAATCTTCAATCTGACGCAGAAATACTTTAAAATTAAAAATACTTACATCTTCAGGTTACAGCCGTTTCATTGTATGGAGCTTACTGTAGAATCAGTTCATTAAATAGAATGATATGTAGGAGATGATGCCTAAGTAGAAAATCACATTGTACACTTCCTAGTTAAATCTTCAATCTAAATGATATAGTACTCAGTCGATTGCCTTACCAGAGATGAATACAGATATTCATTATCATTTAGACACTTTTTTACAAAAGTATTAACTTAGTCTTCAATCTTTTTTTTTATTAGAAATTCAGGAGAGGAGGAGCACTGCTGCCTGGCCTTTAGGAAAAGAGCAAATGAAATCAGGTAGACCTTCTGCCATTGCATGGACTTCTCATTCATCAGTTCTAAAATAGTAACGGGGAAATATTTTCATCATACTATGTCATTACACTTGGTGGTTCTCCTTTCTGATAGTAAGAACTTGCAAAATACTTAGAGAGCTGATCAGAACCCGAAGGAAGGAAGTGTATAATAAATATATAAGCACGTGCTTATATATTAATGCTATCTGTGTAGACTAAGATGTCTTATGAATTTTATTTCAGGTACCTTCATTAACATATGAAATCAGGAACACCTTTTAATCATTTTTTGCCTTTTTATTTTCTGTATTTTATTTGTTCAGAAGGCAGATGGAGGATTTATTTCACGACACATCAAGAAGAAACAAAAAAAGACTTTGAAAAGTTGACAGAAAATATTTCCAAGTTGGTTATGGTTTTTTATGGAAGCAACGGCAAGTCAGATCCAGTTTCCATGGGAAACAAAGTGGAACCTCAGGCTGAAAACCAAATAGCATATGATGTAAAATAATATATAGATTTGTCTATATTTACATTTTCTTTGAATTCCCTTTTAAAGAGAGATCATCAAGAATGTACTGTAAATATTGCAAATGTTATTCCTTTAATATTCAAGAAAAGCAGAACTGAAACTTTCAATTGCACAGCAGATTTCATTTTTATTATTTGGCTTTCTCAAGTTCATATTGATCAAATACATTCTTTTTTGTCAGCAAACGGTCGTAGTTAATAATGCATATCAATTTAAATGGCATTAACATTAAGTATTCACATTTAGAAGTCAGTGCAGGATGTAATTTAAATTTGATAGAATAATTACAATGAATGCCCCTAGAGTATAAAACAAGTATTTCCAAAAGTGCTTACATTCAACCCAGTTCTGTTGCCTTTGAATTTAATAGGAGTTTTAGCACCCGAATTAATGCAAACAGGCCTAGGTCAGTACTAATCCCTTTGTAAAAAACTTCCTCTCTTCCTATAAGGTAGCTATGCATATATCTGTGTATCACTATCTTGATGCTAACTCATTATTTTGTTGCTTCCTAGATACATTTACCATCTGATTTGGGAATGCTTTATAAAGTAAGACTTGGACTTCAGAGTTTGGAAAACAGCACATCCCAGTTATCTTTTCATCACTTTAAAATGCAGCACACATCAACCCTGGATACCTTTAGTCTCACTATAAATAAAACTCTTCCTCTTTCTCTTAATGGAGACAGATGGATTGAATTCCCTGTAGAGTGGCCATTAAAAGAAGCACTTTCTGGTAGGTATAAATCTGCATTAAGGTAGTAGAGTGGTCCAAGAGGTTAACTTGTCCTAATATTACAACTGAAACCTTTATCAAAACAGAAGATTTTATTGTCTTTATTTAATGATTCGTAAAGTCTGAATAAGAATTTAAAACGTATGAGGGAAAAAACTATCCACTCAGCTTAATTTCTGTACCATAAAGTGTGAAATGCGATATTCATTTGATTGCACACAATCATTATTATAAGCTACATTGAATAGTATTACGAAATTTTCCTTTCTTGCAATATTGTAATATTTATATTCTCCTTTATTTAGTCTTCAGCTGCTCATATTACTGACATTGACAGTGTGATTTT